ATATATATATATATAATATGGATTAAAAATTTTTTAAAACCAGGAGCCTAATCTCAACTAGGCAGCTGAGTAAATATCCAAAGCACAAGAAACTGTCCTAGCCAGGTGTTGCCTGCATTTAATAGTGGAACCTTTCCTGGCAAATGAAAGACTCATTTAATTTCAGCTTTCTTTCCCACACTACTCATACCCCGGGGAGCAATTTGATTGGTGAGCCCATATCCACCACATACTACTTCAGGCCATGGAACAATACAGATGAAAACGGTAATCTGACTCTTAAAGCAATGCTTTAGAGGTAAGAAGCGCAGTCATAAATCCATAGGGTTGAATACACAAAATCAACCTACAATTTCAGCTTAAGTATTTGAGACAACATACAGTTTAAGAAAATGATGTTCTTCCTATTCCTTTATGATTTTATTTTGTATAACTTGCCACCTAATGAAATTTGTTGTAATAAAATCAACTTTATTGAATCTAGTTAAAAGGCCTTGGGGAAAACTTTGTGGTGAAATGGTAATCTGAAATGTTTGAGGTCTGAAGGGAAATGAGTTGTGATAACACAGGAAAGTTTCACTTCTCACAAAATAAGTGAACTTTTTACTGATTAAACCAAGGGATGGGTGAAGAGTTACTATGGTCATTATTCCTGAAAAATAGAATTAGTAGACCTCTTGATATCAAGAGAACAAAAGCTATCACAAGCCAGTTTCTCTCCTAAAAAAAGGGGGTTTTGTGGTAAGTATATTACCCTCTGCTTGGGGAGAAAGAGGAAGGAGTCTTGGCCTTTTAATTAGTAAAATATGCTTTCTGCATAATTTCCTTTCCTCTTTTGTACTACAAATCCTTAGAACATATACAAATTTATGAGTTATCTTATAGAAGCTAGATTAAGCAAAAAGCAATTATATCAACCTAGGTTCAGTTTATTAAGAGAATCTACCAATTTTTATTTGAAGTGATGTTTATAAAGAATGCAAACAATAACTGCAGAGGAAAGAAAGAACAAAATATGTAGCTATGTTGCTGACTCATAGTATTCCAGCTATGTAAAAACTTTAATAATAAGGAGAGTTGAAAAATATGAAACAACTATAAAAATCAGTTTCTCGACCTCTTTTGTGAACTGGCATAAAAACAAACAAAGGACAAACTAAAATGATTTTATAAATACGATTATTCTTTTCCTAATCATCGATACCACAAGATTTCCAGAGAATGGTGCCATTGAGGGATTAGGAGTTTTCTCTTCATACAGCAAATTTAACTGCACCTGATAAAATGAGTGATGAGGAAGAAACACTGTTGGAACTTTCTTTGATCCAACATTGTAAGAAATAACAAATATTAAAACTGTTATGCTGCAGTTTAACTTGTCTGCATTCGGCACTCTTTATTAGATGCTTTCCACCTCTGCAATATACAGAAAAGTTTTAACTAATTTTTCATAACCTAGTGATTCTCAAGGCATCAAATATCTTTGTATTGAAGGTCATCTTAAACATTTTCAAGGGTGGGCTATCTTATTTTTCAACTTGGGAAAGCTCAAGAAGGTACAGACATAATGGTATGAATGAAACTAGCCTTCTTTTCTACTCATGTGGAATCATAAATTGTTAGTCACTCAAAACTAATTACTATTATGTGATTTATTTGAAAGTCCAAGACTCTTAATGACTGCTTCCCCGGGGTCACACTTTATTTGGGCTTCTGTTTCGAGGAAACAGGCCTGTTATCTCTGAACTAAGAAGTGGCCTTTACCAGTGATTCTGAAACCATCCCCGTAGTCGTGTTTGCAGAGCGTGGCCGTGTTCAGCACTGCCAGCATCATGGATCAGTGAATAACCTGATGAAGTTCAACTAGCAGGTCTGTGCTGCACTAAGTTTTTAAAAGTCATGAAATCCACATAGAAGATGTTGAGGCCATTAGTACTGCCCTGCATCTCGAGGCTGCATGTCTGATTGCTGTGATCCTGCTTGTCAGTTCAACGTCACTGAGAAGTAGAAAGAAAAACCACACACTAAGCGGCGGTGGGGAGCAAATAGGAGAATAGGATACTTCTTGGACAAGAAGATAAAATCAAGCTAAAAAATATTCAAGGGCAAATAGTATTCACAATGTAGCACAGAATGGGGTGAAGATATCAGTTGATTTAAATGCTACAATCTAGGTGATCATTACATGTCAGGAATTGCTCTTTTTAAAAAACTACAACAGAAAACAAACAAACAAGAAAGCACCCAAAAACAAAGAATGTTTTTACATTATCAGTTAGGTGAAGGATTCTAACAAGGTAATTTTTAACTGATTAGCATGAAATAATATATACTGTCAGCATGCATATTTCTGTTTAAAAAGTATCTAATGACCAGAACTTATGCAAATTTATGGTATGTGAAAAAGGAAGTCAGAGTAAGTGGAATTTAACTGAAAAAAACAAAACAAAACAAAAAAAGCAAAAAAACAATGGGCACATTCCTGTTTGCTACTGACCCTCTTCAGCTGCTGCTGTAACTGTTCCCGCATGGACTCAGGGCAAGTGTCCAGCTGGGTCTTCTGCTCGGAGTAAAGCTCCTGAAGCCTCTCTAGTTTTTCCCTTTCAGCATCAAGCTTTACCTTCTCCTGAAGTTCAGAAATCAGAAAATAGAAGAATAGAAATTACCTTCACACCTAAGCAGGCGTTAGTGAACATTTCCCAAGGATCACACATACAGTACAGTATACGCAAACTCTAGGTATCCTATGAACGTAGAAACATAGGTTAGTGACTAGGGAAAGGGGGTATAAGTGGAAGTAGAAACAAGGGACCCATTTCTGTATTCTCAAAACACAATCTACATCCTGGAGTATTGGCAATGACCCCCATCCTTCCTTCCTTCCTTCATGCCACCACGTTACAAAAGCCGGGGAAGCAACGGTAATGTTGGTCAATGGTCAACAAAGAACAAAAGCAATGCCAATTGAATTCCTAAGACAGCCTTGCAGAGTCACTTGGCAGAGAGCCAGACAATGAAAAGCAGGCATTTACCTCAAGTGCTGTGGGAGTCCAATTTGCTCAAGACATTTCTTAGGCAAGCTTTGAAAATCACTGAAATTTTATTCCCATGTCGGAGGCACATTAGGCACTTTAGGTAATACCCAGCATCCGAAACAGTTCTAGCTATCTAGTAAACCTCAGTGCTTAAGCAATGAGAGGATCTGATTCCAAGGAGAACATCTAATTCAGAGGCTGAGAGAGCTAGTAAAAAAAAAAAAAGACTTGACCAAGCAGTGAGAGGAAGGTATATAAGAGACACTGAATGTGTGACATTTACTGTGGAGATAAGAACTTCACCTACAAGGACTGACTGAAAAAATAAGTGCAACATGGACTGTGAAAAACGAGAAGAGGAGAACACCCAGGAGTCAGAGAATAGAAGAGAAAAGAGAAGATAGCACTAAATCCCCCCTAAGTCACACACTCCAAAGTGACCCGGACATTTTCCAAAGTATAATAGGCGAATCTGTAATACAGTGATTATCAGGCCTTCCAATGCCACTTGGTAAACAAACAAAACTTCAACCTGTTTAGTGCTGGTCTTCCCAACCTGTGTTCCCTTTATGATACTCTGAACCCTTGACGTAAACTTCAGACCTGATTCTCTCCTTGCGGAACCCTCTCGGACTACACAAAAGCACTTTATGAAGCATGACCGCAGTTTCACCCTCAGTAAGCAAAATACCACGTCCTTCCTTCCTTTCCTTCATTCATTCCGTGTGAATTGGTAGAAATAAAACTGGTTTCTAAGTATATTACAGAAGTATTTTTTTAAAAGATGAAGCTCTGAAGTAGTCCTATGAAATTATACTTACTATAACTTCTTCATCCAAAAGGCCATGATTTCCTGTGTAAACATATATTTAGATTCTTTATAAAAGATGTTATGGGTTTTTTTGTTGTTTTTTTAAGTCTAAAACTGTATGACATCAATACCTATGCCAGTTCACTTGAGTCTCTATTTTTGGCTTAAATTTTAAAGTGTCAAGAGCATTTTAGAAATGTATGTTTTGATTTAGAAATGCATTCTTTTCTCATAATGATTAAATCCAGAAATCATAAAACTAAAATCCTACTTCATAGATCAACCTAAAGATGATTCTGCAACTTATATCTCAGCAGATTGTAAGGCAAGTTTGCTCATTGGGCACATACATTGAGCAGGAACTAGAGAAAGTAATGACACTGTTCACAGAAAAAAAAAAAAGGATTCTCAAGTACTGATTCATAGTAAAACTGAAAATACTGGCAGGATCAGTTGGATTTAGTCTTTACTTTTAGAATCAATCATTTTTCCCTTAATAAAACAGCAATACAGAGTACCCATTGTCTTTTGGCCAATAAAATGTATTTCCTCTGTGTGTGGATCAAAGATGGCCCTCTTTAAAAAGCAAACAATGTTATCCAAAAACAATTCTATTTCTAGATATTACATCACCAAATTTTGCAGTAAATCTAGTTCCAAACAGAAAGTTAAGCAAATAAGAAAACCATTTATTCCAATTAAATACCATAAGTTCAAAGCCCCCAAATTTAAAGTTATATTTGATAAAAAAAAAACACTGATACAATATTTGATAATATGAAAAGGTGCTGGCCTAAAACACAGGTCTCAATCCAAAGAAAGAAACAATTGCTCTGATATCCTCATTTTTAAAAATTGTTAATAATAGATCACAAATGAACAGCTAATAAAAAATACCTTCTGTTTACATAGTGCCTTCCTCCTGAGGTGCTCAAAACGTTTCGCAATTCCATACAAGGGGGCGGTTAGAAGAATTATGCAAGCAGGCACCATCAGAACCTTCTGCAGCTTCTCTGCGATTTACCAGTAAGGCTGTGACCACTACCTAGGTCTCAGAGCAAAAGCTCAGTGGGGCCAAGGATAGGGCAAAGGAAGTCAAGGGGAAGGATGAAAGAAGGACTAGTGGCAGGTGTGCCTGGCCATAAATCACAGAGGACCACAGAGGTGACAACAGTCCTGCCAGAGCCAGAAGTAGACCAACTCTGAGTCAGAAAGAAATTAATATTCCTCTCTCCTATTTACTGCCCAGGAAGTTTTCAGAGGAAAATGAGCTCCAAACAGTAGTTAATTAGAGCTGAAAGTATCACCTAATACAGCGAAGGTAAAATAGATGGACAAATTAGACGGTGTTCTAATTGCTTTTTACAATTATTGCGTTATAATTGCCTTTTACAATTATTGTGTTATAATTGCTTTTTACAGGGATTCTTGCTTTTTACATGTAAAATATAAAAACAGGGTGTTATTCTCTGCCTCCAGATTTAAAACTCACCTATACCAATGAGCATAGCACAGTGATATTTTCCAAACATAAAATTGGGAAAGAGTATAACTTTTTTAAAGATTCATAAATTTGATTTTCAGGAAATACATGAATTAAGATAAATTTTTAATATTTTAACAAATTTAACTTTGTTGACAAAATAAATTTCAAGGAATTGGGACACACCAGGAATACCCAGGTGTACAGGGGCCATTTACAAAACCAAGAACAGACCAAGATTCCCTAGAGACACAGCTGCTTCCATCAGCACTGTTCTTGCATTGACTTGTCCTCGTCACCAATTCATTGCCAGATGGTGCCTGTTTTGTGTATTTGAGACTGATGTTCCCGAGGTGTATATTCAGCCAAAAGTAAATTATTCGCAGGCAAATGAAAGTAGAAATCAGTACATAAACCAGGCTTATAGTTATTTCCATAGTGAGTTGTTCATTCACTCACTCAATAAATACTTACAAGGGGCAAGAGGTAGAGAAGAAAGGGAACTTGATCACTTCTCATGAAGTACAGGCTATTCAGCTCTGTGGTTCTTAGCCCAGACTGGGTATTAGAATACCTTCTGTGAGCTTTTCAATATGTTATTTCCAGGCCTCCACTTAGTCAGAAAGGCTAAGGAATGAGCCTCTAAAAAATTTCGCCAGCCCAGCAGGAGTGGCTCAGTTGGTTGAGTGTCGTCCTGTGCGCTGAAAGGTTGCCGGTTCAATTCCCAGTCAGGGCATATACCTAAACTATGGATTCGACCCCTGGCCAGGCACGTAAGGAAGGCAACAGATCAATGTTCCTCTCTCACATCGATGTTTCTCTCTCCCTTCCTCTCTCTAAGCTTGTCCTCGGGTGAGAATAAAAACAAACAAAACAACAACAACAAAAATCTCTCCAACTTTCCTAATATGCAGCCAGGATGACAATCACTGATTTAGCCACCCAGGATGATGTGAAAGGCAAAAGTTAAGATGCTACCACAGGGTACACCAGAAATTGTTCTTAAATATTTGGTCTTAGTACCTTTGTTTCATAATATAAAAGGCTTCTCTTACAAGTAACATCCCAGTTGTTTTTGTCCCAAATTTTTACATTCATATTAAATGCTTCAAGTAACTAAACAAAAAATTGGACTGTGAGAGATTTCAATATCCAATATGCATTCAGAGAGAAATGGTGCATTTCAAATTCAGGTGCAAAATGATTCTCTTCTAATAGACAAATGGTCAGGAGTGGTTATAAAGTTACCCTGAATAATTGGAATTTGCACAAAAGAATTGCCAATAATCCTGAATGAACATAATAGTCCAAGGATTGTCATAGGACCACTTATGTTGCTAGATCTGTGGTTAGAAGACAGTAACATAAGTTTTCTCTCTTTTAAGTTGTATTCTTGAACTGAGAGTTAACCTGTTGGTTCTATCTGAATTTCAATACCACACAGAAATTCTTGAATACCAGTGAAAAAATCATTTTAGCATATCTGAGTGTGCAATACTTGTTAAGCAGATGGGTCAAGATTATTCTGAAAAGATTCTTACTTTTTTTAAAAATATATTTTATTGATTTTTTACAGAGAGGAAGGGAGAGGGATAGAGAGTTAGAAACATTGATCAGCTGCCTCCTGCATGCCCCCCACTGGGGATGTGCCTGCAACCAAGGTACATGCCCTTGACCGGAATCGAACCCGGGACCCTTGAGTCTGCAGGCCGACGCTCTATCCACTGAGCCAAACCGGTTAGGGCAGATTCTTACTTTTTTAGCTTGTATGGCTGCTAGTTAAAACAGAGGACACTCAGTTAAATTTTAACTTCAGGTAAACAATAAATTACCTTTTAATGTAAGTATGTCCCAAATAATGCATGAGACATAATTATACCAACAATGTCTTATTTTTCACACTGTCGTGCTATGAACCCAGAGGGAATGGGCTCCCGCAGCTCAGGCTCCTTTTCATTGGTTCTCACACAGTGTGCCTCTCTGGGTCGAACAGGCTGTCGCTTCAGCTGAAACCAGGTTCCTTTCTCTGTGGCTCCCTTCCTCTTCTGATCACTTTCCTTCCCACGTTTCAGCTCTTAGAGTGTTTAATACGCTCAGTACATACATTCATTCTGTTGGCCAGATCTTGCCCTTAACTTGTTTGTTCACAACAATGTCCACCACATGTTCGATGACACGCAGACTCTTCCAGTTTTGCTATGGGAACATTTGTGAACACTGTATTTCCCTTGATGCCTACATCATCTTTTTTTGTAGATTTGCATGTATGTGGCCAAAAGAACAATTCCACGTTTTTTAAAAGGCCCAGAAAACACATAGTGGGTGCCTCTCTTCTTTCCCTTTGTGTTAGTCATTTTGGCGAATTACTGAAAGATGGTTATTCCGGCCCAAAGGAAAAAGTTATTTTCTGTGTATTGGAAATGCAAATGAGCATATATATATTTGGAGGGGGGCAAATCCAACAACCTCATTAGTTTGATAAGGTTTTCTTGAAAATTAAGATCCATCTTTGTAACTTCCAAACTGTTTAGCACAGAATCCAGCACACACTAGGTAATAGGAACATGAAACATTGGGTCAGATTTTGAATGGGTACAATGATGGGTTAAAATTCATAGTCCCTAAGCCATCATTTTTAAGGGTGGTCCATCCAAAATCCTCTCTGTACACCCCAGAATCCCTTTCCTTAACATTTTCTAAACACTGTGGGGTTGTCTACCAGGCAGGCATCCTCCTTGGTTCATGGATTAGGCAACTGTTTTAAGCCCAAAACCACTTATCTGAAATTCTTAAGGCCACAAGTGTTCCAGATTTCAGAATATTCTTAATTTTAGAGGGGTTACACAGTTCATATAGCATATATTATATGGCATTTCCAGTGAGGTTGGGAAGATACCTTTACTCAAACATATTACCATTACTGCAGCTACTTAAGAATATTCACATCAAGTGAATATTAGTCAAAGTCAGGTTTTGCGACCAACTAAATTTTGGTGCCAACCTTAATAAGGACTTTTTTCCCCCATAAAACTTTTCATATTTTTGAATTGCAGAGGAATTTTATAAACCTATGTCAACAAATGGAGATGATCGAGAACCCATTCTCTGTCTGCCTCTGAGGCATTTTCCTATATTTCATTTTAGGGTTTTTTCCTTTGGCTTTGACATTTTAATTACAAAATTAATGGATATTTAGTGTAAAAAACTTGGAAAACTAAAACACTACGAATTTATGTAATCAAACAACCACCAGAAAAAAATACCCTAATCTGGAATCCTGTTGATTTAATCCGCAAATCCTTGATATATTTCCACATCCTCTAACCAGGGAGCTAACTTTGAAATGTAAGAAAAAAGCACGGGAAGCGCTGGGTCCCTCTGAACATGGACTGCGATTTGGCCAATGCTCTGCACTCAAGAGGCATTAACACTTTGCTAAGGAATTCGGGGCCTGGCTCATGGTCTTCCCCTGGCTCTGCAGGAAGGATGGGGAGGAAGTAACAGGTACTTTGGCAAGATAATAATGGGCAATAAAATTTAACCATTTGAAATAAGTGATATATGCTTATTGTAGAAAAATCAGTCCATTAATTTAAGATTTCACTCAGGAGCATGTTGTATGGCATAGAGTGATTTAAGCTTCAGTTCACACCTTTAAGATTATTTGGCTATAAAATGTGCAGGTCTGGATGGCTATAGAATATCATAATCTACCTGAGTGAGGATCATTAAGAAAATACAGAGGAAAAATCTTCTTAAACAAACACATATGCCCATACCTTCTCAGCAGCTGCCCCAAATGGGACTTTGCCTTGGCTGAAGGCAGTGGAAGGAAGGGAAGCCGGCTCCGCACAAGGCTTTTGCCCAAACTGAGCTCCCACGGTCTGGTGGCCTCCCCACTCTCGGTCACCAAGCCCAGGAAACTAAAGCAGTTTACTAGAGCAGAGATGAACAATTCTCTCTCCTTTCACCCATCCCCCCAAAACATGATGGCCTCTTTGCTTACTGCTTCGTCAACTAAACATCCCCTCTGAGTTGATGTGTGAGTCGGATACTTATATCTGCTCAGGGTTTATCTGACTCATAGAGACTCTATCTGTGATGGGACCGCTGTCTGAGAACACGGCAGGCAGGTGGCATTAGCTCAGAGTGACATGGAAACAAGCTTACTGATGCTCTTGACAGTGGTACCCAGAAGGGCACTGAAAGGTTGGCCCAGAGAATGTCAGGTGGGCCACAGGATATGAGTCAGAAGTTCAGAAAAGGATGGTAGACTAAAGACAAACATGAGACAGTAACCAGCACATACAGGTTATTGGAAGTCATGGCTATAAAATAATGTGAGGATACAAAAAAAAAGGGTTCAGATCAGAGACAAATACTCTTAACACCTGGTTAGATAGAGACAGAGGAGCAAGCAAAGGAAACTGAGATGGAAAAGTCAGGAAGATGAGTAAGAGATAAAAATGAAAACCAGAAGAACATGGTATGGGAGGCAAAGGGGTGGGAGAGAAGGGAAGTGCCAAGAAAAAGTTGACCCCTGTCTTGAATGCTCCTCAGGAGTCTAATCACAAGAGGACTGAAAAGCACCCCGTGAGCTGGGCAGCACCTAGGTCTTCAGTAGTTTTAACCGGAGCAAATCTAATGGAGTAGTGGGAGCCTCAGCCAACTGGAATGAGAGGAATGGTTAAGTGGGAAGAGGACACACAGAGTGCTAGAACAACGAAAGAAGTTTGCCGATGATAAAGAGAAGTGAAATGAGGTATTAGCTAGTAGAATGTTTAGTTTTAAGTAATAACTTTTTAAAATACTGATGTTGGCATGCTGACAGTAAAGGCCCAGTAAAGAGAAAGAAGATGGTGAAGAGGGATATAGGACTGAAGATGTGGAGGTGAATGGCATGAGGCCCATAGCATATACAAAGGCTCTGGTCTTTGAAGGGAAGAAAGAATCTTCCTTAGCTGGGAATAGATGGGATGCTTCTCATTTCTCAGTGCAGTGGGTACTTAGATCATCTCAAAGCCAGAGGGAGGAAAGGGGACCAAAGGTTTGAACAAAGCAAAGGTACAACATCTCCATACTATAAAATGGTGGAATAAGTTAGTTTGAGAAACACAGTAATGTCACCAAGCAAGACGGGGTCTCCATTTGAGTTTGGTTCTCGAGAATATGTAGTAGCATCATCTAGCCCAGTCGGTTTTCACTTCCCTCAACCTCCTCTGGAATCCCTCACCCAAAGCTAGTTTCTGCCATTTTTCACACCATGTGATGACAGATAATAATCCCACCTTCTAAGACCAACTAATCCCTTAACAGCTGCATGAGCTGATCCTATACTTCAGGCTCCCACTTGTATGCATAGCCTCTATAAGCCACCAAAACAATAATAGGAAGGATGGAGGGCACCCCCTTGCTTGCTCCTGCTCATGTTCCTGGAGTTCCACATTACCTTAGGTCTGCAGAACATAACACAACTTTCAGTGGAAGTGAGATTCAGCACTCACTCGACTTACTTCACTTTTGTGTAGAATCTGATGCTAATGACAGAGACAAATAGAACTTGTAGGCCATGCCATGCATGGGCTATACAAAGATAAGTAACTACATGGATGGGAAGGCAGAAAGGTTCACTAGGAACTTGATACCTATTCCTATGTCCCGTAAGTTTTCCGAAATGACATAAATGATAAAATAGTAGTAAGTCCCAAAACACAGACATCTGATGCCTCCAACGAAAGTTTCTTGCTATCTCAGTGCAGGATCTTTGAAAAGCATTATCCTCTCATACTGCACAACTAGACAATCAACCCTTTGACTTGGTTTTGAGCTTTGAAAGAAAAATATACCTATTACCCAAATGGGTTCTTTATTATTTCAAAGTCTGGGGCTAGACGAAACACACATAAAATTTAATACGAAAAAGCTGTGCAGTTTAATCTTGACAAGCAGGAAACCAAGATATTGATGTGTAGCTTTTAATCTGACTTCAATTTCTGACAATATCTTTTTGAGCTTATTTTCTGGCACCAAGATCAAATGCCCTTATTTATAGGTCTCGAACAAAGAAGAACCTATAAAAAGGAAGCCACATTCAGCAGAAAATCCTTTCCACATATTACCAGTAGAACGTACTCAAACTGAACATTTTTTCTTTTTCTCAACTTAGTGGAGAACATGGAGAGCAAGAAATAATATGTTAAAGCTCATTCTGCTTTTTCTTTCTCAAACTAGAATTTTAATTTTCAGTTTAGGCTTAGGTCAGCTGTCACTAACTCAGAATGTGAGAGGACAGTAAATAAACTATTTCCCAGAGAAAAATAAACAAATAAACAGACAAACAGAAAACACAACTACCACCTGGGATTCTAAAAACTACAACTTTTCATACTTTCCCTAGTAAAACTTTTAGGTTGTGGCCTCAAAAGTATAAGCAAGACCTTTTCCAGGATAAGTGTCAACTGTGTTTCACAGACAGGATTCCCTGGGTAGTGTGTGAGGATCTTCTGAAAACTGCAATGTGTCTTTCAAGGAGCATTGAAGAACATGGCAAGGCAAGACAGGGGAGATGAATGGCTCCCATTCATCTTTTTAATAAACAGAAAAATGAAAAGAAATGAGGCAATCATATTTGAATATGCTTAAGCCATTTCTATAGGGCACCAGTGGTAAAGAAGGTCAGTATACTAAAATAATTCTCTAAAAAACACAGTGGAATCAGAAGAGGAGAAAGACTGGTGGAAAACCATGGTAATTCATACAACATTTAGATTCAACCAAATGGGACCACCATTTTTCCCATGAAAATTGCATTCAAATTAGCATTTTCTTTTACCTTGGTCTTTTCACCAACAATGTTCTTTTCCAGTTCTGCTATCTTCCGGTTTATGTGATCCAAAATCTCCTTCTCTTTCATCAGTTCAGTTGTTTCAGATTTCTGCTCCCCTTCCAAAAGAGCACATTCCATATCCAACTGCGGACACAAAACAAAGCCCAGAGGTGTTTCACCTTTAGGGGAACTCTCAGCTGCCCACTTTAGAGGTTCATCTTTAACAGCTACAAATTCCAAGAAGTAACTACTGTATCAGCCAGATTGTGGGGCCTAGAGACTATTTCAGAGAGCCCATGAGAGGCTTAGGAGTCCTATAGAAATATATCCTATCTTCCTAGAATATAAGAAAACTAGTTATTTAATTTTTCTATGATGACCCTTTTTCTGCTTATTTCTCCAAATATTTTGCCTATCTGCTTAGTTTCAGGCTCCACCATGAACCATCTAGGGAGCAACCATGCCTTTCTTTGTTTGTCCCTAGAGCATGGGAAGCAAAAATTGCACTCAGCCAGCATGCCTGCACTGCATTCCTTAGCAATGCCAGCAGGAGGGGCTTCCAGGGTTTGTGCGCAAGCTGACAGGTGAGCAGTCCCCTTCCACTATGGGGCTGTCTGCATCATCTGTGAGTGCAAACATGCAGATCCTGCCTAGGCAGAATTATTTGCTCTTTCTCACTCCATGGAGGTAATATAAAAATGTTCCATCTCTTCAGTTATAGTTATAATTCTATAACCAGAATTACAGTCTGTGTCTATCTCCCCCTTGGTTTGCAAACCTCTAGGAAGCTAAGTCCATGCTCAATTCATATGTAAATCCCTGCTAGAGTATCAACATGATATCCATCTCACAGTAAGCATGCACCAAAAATATTTATTGGGTTTGAACTTGAACACCTAAATTCATGGTACCTTGAGTCACAGTCTTGTAGCAAGTTAGAAAGCATATGCAGTAAGTCCTCACTTAACATCATCGAAAGGTTCTTGTAGTTGTGGTGAAACGATGTATAATGAAGCCAAATTTTACTATAGGCCAGTTGATATAAACAAGAGTTAAGTTCCTACAGTATCTCATTAACGTTAGAACGTAACAAAGTTGAACAAAATAAGTTATTTGAGAACCTGCTGTACTAATTAAGATAAATTCAGTTATACATACAGTAAATGAAAAATGGCTGAATATGTTTACCTCTGTTTATTAAAAAAAGAAGGAAAAGAGAAATGTAAAACAAAAAAGGCATTTTTATCCTGCATATATACCCACTGAACAAATGTTTGCTCATGTTGACTTCTCTGTATTCCAATGCCTGTGTCCTAATGGGCAACAATATTTTAAAGCTAAAAACAAAAGAAAGAAAAGCAGGGAGAGAGTAAAAAATTAACTCATGGCTTATACCTCTCTGGAAGATTCATCTATCTGGTCATTTATATCTTTGATTTTTTGTTCAAGTTCCTCGAGGTTGTTCAGAATTGTTATCCGGGTCTCCTCCATTGCAGCCAGCTCCTGAATCCTTTGTTCCTCACTTATGCCCTCTGGGGTCTGCAATCAATCCACACAGAAAAGAGATGTTCACACTTGAATTCCAGAATTTCCCAGTTCATAAACCAGCCCCAGGTCTAATGTTTCCGCCTCCAGTCTTATCTGGATTCTAACAGCAGCCTTTTGATAGTTTAGTAGGAACTCTGCATTTCCCCACAGAATCTCAGCAGTTGGGTTCTTAGACTAGCTCACAGAATTTATAAATTCATACGTTTTTAAAATGAAATAACTAAGGTTATACAGATGAGGAAACTGTGGTCCACAGAGATTGTAGTTACTTCTTTACAAGGCAGAGACCTAGAACCTAGGCAAGACTTTGACCTCTTCCTCAGGGATCTCTTGGGCATGCTGCTGCCTTTCATTACAAACTCCATATCTCTCCCATCTCCAAGTGAAAACATCTACAACTGTCTCTGGAATCTCTACCATACTATTGGGTCCTACCGCTAGGGTCATCTGCAAGTGAGCTTTCATGCTTATTTCTTTCTTTCCAACACAAGGTGGAAAAAAGCAAGGGCATATCACATGTGGCCCAATCTCACTAAATGTCCCACAAAGTTAATTATCAGAGCAAAACAGGCTTCATTACTTCTATGATCCCCTCCTCCAGTGATTTAAAATGAGACACCTAATATTAAGTTAATTCACATTTTGCTTTTTGTGTTAGCACACTACTTACATCTTATAGGATCTTCTTTCTATATAATGTTTAAGACACTATCTGGAAAATAGCCTTTAGTGAAATGAAACAAGGCCCTGGCCATCATTCATAAAATTATGTCATAAAAAAATGAGTTCCTAAGCAAGAAACGAGAAAGTCAAGAAAGAAATTAAGTGAGAGAAGGCATACTTACTCCCCTGAACAATTATGCCAAACTAGAGGCCCAGTGCATGACATTCGTGCGTGGGTAGGGTCCCTAAACCTGGCCAGTGATCAGGGCCAGTCGGGGGCCTTCCTTTTGGCTGCCAGCTGGGGCCTCCCTTCCCTGGCTGCCAGCTGGGGCCTTCTTTCATTCCATGCCTCCCCCTAGTGGTCAGTGAACGTCATAGTGAGCAATGAAACTCCCCATCTCTGGTTGAACTCCTGAGGGGACACTTTGCATATTAGGCTTTTATATATATAAATGCCCAGGGAAAAGGGAATGTTGATCATACACACAGCCAAAATATCACTGCTTGTTATTTTAAGAAAAAAATCTAGTGAATTGCAAATAGCAAATTTCAAGAATTCAGGTTAATTATCTTGTGTATCACCAAGTAGAGACCAGTCTTACTGTATGTCAAGGAATGCTGGTATATTGAAGTTTCATTACTCTTTAAAAAAAGTTGTAATTTTTTCATCAGTAAGTCAATGACTCTACAATTTCACAATTAGAAATTAAAAGCAGGTCAGATAAGTAAATTATTTAAGATTATTCACTAATCATTAAAAGAAATATTCAAATGAAAAACTATTAAAATTTATTGTACCTCATTAAGTTCATTTAATTTATTTAAAAATCCTGAAAATAACTTTAAGAAGATAGGCATCATATTGTGTTCTTTTATTAATATTCTTTACTCTATACCCCACTTGCTGCTTGCTCCTTAAGGAGACTAAATGATTGAGAAGTGACAAGTATCTCAGGTTGACTAGAACAAGGATGCAGCCCTTCCAAGCTGTGACATTTAGCTTTCTAATTGCCACCTGAAATCTGTATCTTATTGACTAATAAAACAACTGTGACCTTTTTACCACAGACAATGAATCGCATTGTCCTAGTACTTAGGTGCTTGTGGTAGGGCCTGAGGAATTCCTGTAACAGTGCATGGCATTCCGAAATCACTGACATGTAATCCTAGCAGGAAAGCCTCAAGAAGGCCGGCATCCTGTTGGGTCAACATTTCATATTAGATTTCAACTTCCAACGTGGTTTAAAAATATCTCTCCCACTGGTGGAAGCAAAGCATTAAGAGAAAACAAAAACCGAACAATCTTCAAAACCATAAAGATAGGTAATAGTGGCAATTATAAGAATCTGTATAACTCAAAGTTTCACAATAGGTATATTTAATAATAACTGGAGAGGCTGTTTATAGCAATACATACCATCTAGAAAATTACTGTGTGTTTATAAAAAGCAAAATCTTTAAAAGGAATTCTAAAACTCTGGTTTGTGATAGAATGGGGTGTGGATGTAGACCTCATTTATATCAAAATAAAGAAAACCAATAGAGAACCATGGGTGTGGTGGCCACTAAATATCTTTAGCTTTATAGGGAAAGAGAAAGCTTTAATTTTAATCTCTCTGGGATATTTTTATTGTAATGGATAGGATTCCACTGGGAGTGACATTATTTAATAAGCCCATTACACATGTATGTGCATCCCCAAGTATGCCATCTCTACAGTAATAGAAAGACACAGAGAAAGGGGAGAGAGGATAGGAACTTTGCATCTGCCTTTTTTTGTAGATCTCTTCTTAGAAACATCTTGCAACCAGACAAGGATGCAAGTGTGAGGGTTTTCCACTGTAGACAAAGTGATTACTCAAAAGGAGAAGAGTGAAAAGTACTCATCACAAAGAAGAAAACATTTTTTGGTAACTATATGAGGTGATGAATGTTAACAAAATTTATTGTGGGAATTGTTTTGCAATATATGTTAGTCAAGCCATTATACTGTATGCCTTAAACTTATATGCTGTGGTATGTCAAGTATATCTCAATAAAATGGCAAGAAAAAGGAGAAGAGTAAGGTACTCTTAACTTTCACCTCAGGTGGTGGCAGACAGGTTGACAAAAGCTCATTAAAATTAGCTTATTTCCAAAGTTATCTGTACCTTTAAGTGTTTGGTAAAGCAAGTTCCAGAATGGTTATCTCCAGGTGCCTAAATATCATTAAAATCTTTGTTTTATTAAATCGGCTTAGAGTTTTTTTCCGCATTCCTCTCTACACTAATCCTTAGATTGATTAATAACAAACACTGTACTTTTAAAATAATTCAGTGAGCAGATTACTCCAAGAGGAAGCGCACCAAAAACAAATGGCCAGAACTTTTTAATAAGCTTCTATCTCCTGTCTTGAGGTAACATATGTCTGTCTTCAAAAAGTAATAAATGAAAAATGCATTCCCGGGAACCCGTCGCCCTCTCACTGGCACTGTCTACCAAGCTGCTGTGTGCAAACCACAGGAGCCCCTGACGTTTCCTGTCTCCCAGGAGGCACAGTCGGATGCTGCTCCAAGCCTCAGAGGCCTCCTAGTCCACAAAGCACATTCGAGCAATGGAAAACATCTGTCCTGCTCTGCTCACTTACATACCAACAGCTTTCTTGTCACAGTTCTCTTCAGGAGGAAACCTGCCTCCAAAAGGATGATCCTTAGGGAGAGCTCACAGCTTAGCATCAAAACAAAATCTAGCAGATCTCCATAAGAGAAGACATGTGAAAGGACTTAGGATAAAAAGGTAGCAAAGGATTTCTGAGAAAACACAATGTGACAACAGGTCAAACTATCAAATGGTGGATCATTCACTGTGCCTGAAAGACAACTCTTGAGTTTCCTTCCAGATCCTAGTTTTTTTTTAACAGTTGCATCTTTCTGGCAATACAGACAGATGTCCTATTTGAAGTTCCTCTCCACTGAGAATTAGAAAGGTAGATGTGGTCATTAGAAGGAAGAAGGGATTGGACAGTCCAGAGTCTTGATGGCCATGATGTATACAATGGGAGAACTCAAGGTAGGTGACTTCTGACCAGGAGCATTCAACTTTTTTTAACAAGAAAAATCTTGTTGCAGCCAAACAAACAAAAATAAAAACAAATGCATAAATTCTCCTGAATAGTACTCAATGTGATAAAAAATTACCTCCAGAATTTAGTACCATGATGACATATTTCTCATAAAGAATCAGTAAGTGTCCTTCTCTTATAACAACAACAACAACAAAATAACTAATGTGTCTTTTTTACATTTGATTCTTGGGCCATGACTGCCAAGAATCTCAGAGTCTAACTTAATGGTCAGAGCTACTTAAATAAATAAATTAACTAGTCCTATTTATTCTTAAATAAATAAATTCTTTTGATTATGGTACTTGCTTTCCCAGACTCTTTTTCCTGTTTTTTACTATCTTGGTGTTCTAATTTTATTGTAATAAGATACTTATAAAATACTTATATTTTATTATAAAGTGCTCTTAAATCCTTTCTAGAGAACAGGTAGGAGAATTTTTTAAAATTTTATAGAAAAAAAATTCTTAACATGTGTGAAAAAATAGCACCAAAATTTTTTCCTTGAACTCCATTTTAAAAATCCTCAAATTTGAAAGACATTTTAAAATCAGCAAACGACCAGAAAACTAAATAATAACTATGATGACATATAAACCTTAAATTTTTATATGTCCAAAAAATTTCACAAAAAAGCCAAAAGTCAAAGTTACCATTCATGATAAAAGACTAATTTCATTACCAAAATAGTTATTACTCAGTAAAAACAAGGCATTTTCCAAAAATTGGGTGAGGAACATAAATAAATGTATTTAAATACAAATTAGCAACTAAAACAGTAAAAATATGCCCACTTTCATGCATATTAAAGACAAGCTAATTACACCTATTAGCTTAGCAAATTAAGAAATTCTGATAATAAACAGCCTTACGAAGTGTATGGAGAACCAGGTGTTCTCATAAAATAAACTGTTGAAAGTGTAACTCTTTTGAGAGTACAATTTGGAAATATTGATTAAAATAAAAAATATACAAACTCGTTTACCTAGTGTTCCACTTTTAGTAAGTGATCTCAGAGATAATATTTGCACAATATATATATATATCCTAGAAAATTTTCTGCATGTAGATTTTACTAGTCAAAAACTGGAAACAACTTAAATAGTATTCCCAAACACAGAACACTAGTCAGCCATTGAAATGAATGAGGTAAAGCTGTGTATACTAATATGCAAAGATGCTCAAAACATTTAGGGAGGGGAAAAATGCAGAACGCTATGTATATGTCTATGCCTATAATATATGGCCATGGATGCACAGAAATATTAGGAAAGCATGTAAAAACACTTTGTGTTTATCTCTCAGGTGTACAACTCAGAAGGGACAGAATGGAGAGAGACCTTTCGTTCTACTTTTCTGAGCTGCTATATTTTTTACAGTGCAAGCTTACTGCTTTATAAGAAACACTAATTTGCTACACCTTGCTAATACCTCTTAAACTGAAGCTTCACTAAACACATTTAGCAAACAAGCATGATAGAGCCTCTAGTCTCTACGCCAGTGATGGCGAACCTGTGACATGCGTGTCAGAGGTGACACGCGAACTCATTTTTTTGGTTGATTTTTCTTTGTTAAATGGCATTTAAATATATAAAATAAATATCAAAAATGTAAGTCTTTGTTTTACTATGGTTGCAAATATCAAAAAATTTCTATATGTGACATGGCACCAGAGTTAAGTTAGGGTTTTTCAAAATGCTGGCATGCTGAGCTCAAAAGGTTCGCCATCACTGCTCTACGCCAATACAGATGCCCAGTCCTGGGCCCTCAATCCCAGTCTCTGTGCTCTGTCTCCTTTACCTTTGGCAGGATACTTAGGTAAGAGGACTCATTGGAAGCTTTCAGAAAGGCAGAGGGGGGCGGTGGGGGAGTCCTGGAGAGGTCCCTGAGCAGTTCCTCGTTCATGGCGCTCCTGGGGGAAAGGAAGCTGGCACTGCTCTGACTCAGGCTCCCGAAGACTGCCAAGTCCGCCTCGTGGCCAGCGCCTTTCTGGTGGCACCTGTATCTGACATCGGGGTTCACCAGGGCTTCTTCAAACACAGAATCCTCATCAGAGATCTGCAGTTTCTCAAGCTCCTTATTGATTTTCTGCACATCTGCCACGGTGGTGCCAAGGGACAAGCGACTGTCAGGCTTTGTGTATTCAGCACAGAGGCTGAGGATGGTCTCCAGACGCTGTCTCTCCTAAAACACGAGGGGAGGAGAAGGTCAGTGAGTCTGTGAGAACGGAGACAACTCCAAATAGAAAGAATGAAGAGGCTGGGACCACTGGTGATTTTGTCCCACACACGAACCCACAGACACTTGGCTGGGGATGATTTCCATCTTCTCTGATGGACACATACAAGGATCCAGATGACACCAAGGTGAACAATGTCTGATATTCCTCCCAATCTATATTCTGGGCTGTCCCCTTTACCTGTACATACCAGTGCTGGTCCTAGCCCATAGAAGCAATCATTAAGCCTTTTCTTGATTTAACAATTTTCCAAACACTTGAAAGGGTTTTTAAATCTCTTTTTTAAAAAAATCTTCACCCCCCTCACTCCCTGTACCTATCTATCTTCAACAATATCTAGCTCTTTCATCACTATAGATTTAGTATTTGTCCTTAAAATAAATTTTCTAACTTCCTATAGAAATATCATTCTACTGTTAGACACACAAAAAGAAAAATGCAAATTTAAGAATTTTTTAATTTAATAGGCATATCTAGGTCATCATTTTATTTCTTGAAATGATTCAAAAATTTCAGCTCCTTTTTATGTTTCATCACCATGTGAAGGTATTTTCCACCAATTTCTCACATGAGTAATTGAAATGATAAAAAGGTGGGAATGTTGCACGAAAATGAAGACTATTTGATGTCGTGTCCAGACAGAAAGACAACAATGTAGTTCTGATTCTGAGATCATTTAAATCATTTAACTGAAAAATAAGATGATTGTTCATTTGTTTTTTAAAAAGCAATATATAGGCCATTGATGTCTATAATGGTACCACTAACTGACACCCCCTCATTCCCCATGCAAAACAAGTAGATAGATATGATTCTTGACTTTAAATAAATTTACTAAATATTTGTGAACAACAGGGTATAATTTACAAAATGCTTATCATAAGCCTAGACAGCACTGTTTGGGTTGGGGAATCTCAACATCTTCACCTTAATTTTAATGTCTAAGGGGAAAGAAAAAAAAATAAAGTAACAAAAAACATCTGTTGTGATTAAATCTACCACACTGAAAAGAGAATTCAAAGCCTTCTAGAGAAAAGCATTTTCCAAACCGGTCGTCAGTTACAAAATAGAAAACTTTTAAATAGCACTGGGCTGCTATTTTCAATTTCTAATTGCAGCAAATCTATAAGGACAAAATCCCGAAGGCAGTTTGCTTTTTATTAGTCAAAGGAGTGTCAAGTAGAAAAGTCAAGTAGGTACAGAGCAACATAATTCCCTGGTTTCCATCAAATACATTCATTAAATGACAAAATAGAAGTCATTTGAGTTGTATCTGACTTTTATCTGGCTTCTAAACACGCCCCCAACCCCCCAAATGCAATAGCTTGATCAAAAGGACTGTTAAACTGGTTGCTATAAGCCCCCACCTCCCTTTCACTGTCTGAACTTCTGGACTCCAGCTGCAGCTCCGTCCTCATGGCCTCTTCCCACTGCAGGCACTCAGAGCCACACACCGGCATCCCGGGAGCACTGCACCCTGTCCATCCAGGAGCCCGGTCCTTATTTATCTCCACAGCTGCCACCAGCTGCCAAGCCCTACCCACCTCAGCTCTATGGGGAGGGTTGAGATGGGGGGTGGACTCAGCATTCATTGCCTTATTTTAAACCTCTCCAACCATCCGGAATATGCAAAAAGAACCTGCAAGGGGATGTGTGAGGAAGGGGACAGGAATGAGATGTTACATTTTACTCTTCTCAACAGCATCTACCTTAGAGGCTAATCTCCAAAGAAAAGTGTTCTTTCTACCCTTTAGGTAAATTAAGTTGAAGCATCTATGATCTAGAGAGATTATAGAGTGAATATATGAGCCTGGACATTACAGTTGGGATTTTTTTGGAAATTGTCAATTTCCATTTATCAGGGCTCTCAGGACATGTGGCCTTCAAAAGCATAAAAGGTACTTCTGCCTGGTCTATAATACAGCAAAATTCCTCCCACATCTCCTTCCCAAAATAGTTTCTTTTGCTGCCAGTGCTCTTGCTTAATTCCCGAAGGAATAAATGATCCCAGCCCGAAGATGAATGCTATTTCAGAGAGTGAAGCGCAGCATTCAATGGCTTGTACACAGGAAGTTTGGTCTACTGGTATGTGCTTCTCTATTCTTATCACCCCATTCACAAGCCAATCTGTCTAGGCTTGAATCACGCGCGCACACACACACACACACACACGCACACACACCACTGCTGCCCACGAGTCTATAACAAATTCAGGCCACACCGTGGCACATTGGCCCCATAAAAGTGGCACCAAAGAAAAATAAACTGATGATGAAAAGTGCGTCAGAATAAAGTCTGCAAGGCATTTCGGAAAGCACTACAAGAAGCCTTTTAAGGAAAACCAGGAACAGAATTTCCCCTCAGACAATAATTCTCCCTTGAGTCCGCTTCACTCTGGAGTTTTGTTCCTTCCCATTCATCACACCAATATTCTCCACTCTGCATGACCTAAAACCAGGGTGACTGCTCCAGACCAGGACACTCAGAATCCAATAGGGCACTATTAATAATTATGCTGGAACATCAAGTGCAAACTGGGATTGGCAAACTCCCTTAAGTTCGATTTCCTTTGGCATTTCACCTGGTGATATGCCGAGTTGGGAAGCCACCCTCCTGGAGATCTTTACGTCCTACCTCCTTTCCAAACCAGCAATTTACTGCACATTCTCCTGAAAAGCCACCAGTACAGAACCCAAATATCCACATGGTCCATGCTGCTAGGGTTGAGAAAGCAGGTCACTTCAAAACAAATGATTTCAAATACATTTTTATTTTTTCTCCCTCCCCAATTCCCCTTTCCTCCAGCCCTGTGTACCACATGTATCAAATCAAAGAAAGCTTTGAAAGAGACACAAGATCTTACAAAATATACCTGAAGAAAATGGTGTGCAATACTTTCCCTCGGGTTTAAAAAAAGTAAACAAACAGAGTGTTCTTTCCTTTTCAGGGGAATGTGTCTGGCATTGCCCCACTGCAGTTCCCAGCCCTCAGTTCACAGTTCTCATCCATCTCCTCAAACCATCCAGTCTCCTTGGGATCAACTACAGCTAGTCTAGGCCAGTGGTCGGCAAACTGCGGCTCGCGAGTCACATGTGGCTCTTTGGCCCCTTGAGTGTGGCTCTTCCTAAGCCTTAGGAGTACCCCAATTAAGTTAATAACAATGTATCTACCTATATAGTTTAAGTTTAAAAAATTTGGCTCTCAAAAGAAATTTCAATCGTTGTACTGTTGTTATTTGGCTCTGTTGACTAATGAGTTTGCCGATCACTGGTCTAGGCCATAGGACTCTAAATATAATTCAGAAATAAATTAAGCAGAAAACTAAGCATAGGTAAAAAAAAAATTAAATCCTTCTGTTATAATTAAATATATTGAGTCATTACATGAAACATAAGGTCAATCTTTAATGGTTGGATATAATTTAGTTGAAAGGAGATTGTTTTTTCTTAAGAGGAACCTTTATAACTGATAAGTATGACTTTACTTCTCTCTACTGTTAACCCTAGAGATTCAGTATCTCCCTAATCTTCAATTCAACAGATATTTTAAGTTACTCAATGCCCAGTAATATGCTGGTGTTACCAAGTTGAAAAAAAGACAACGTTTCTAGCCTAAAAACTTCAACAGAAGGCACAAATGGGTAATCAATTAAAGAAAACAGTGATAACAGAGGTTTACAGAAAATTTATGAATTCACAGATAGAGAAGAAAAATTACAGAAAAACAAATTTGAGTTGAGTTCTCAAGAATAAATGAGTCTGTGTGACCTATTGAACAGTAGGGTGGGCAGGACATTTCTGTAAAGGAACCATATCATCAAAGGCATAGAGTGGTGGAATATCTCAATATGCCAGCAATCAGCAACTACTGTGTAGCTAGGGAGATGGGACTCTTCATAGGAAGAGGGATGGAGTGCATACATAGAAATAGGCCAACTTTTCTTCCTCTTTATATCAGGACTCAAGAGATCCCAATAGCCCTAAACAGACTTTTGAAATAAATTCATAGACCCTGGTCTGAAAGTGGATGGCAGAATGAGAAGAGTTGGGCTGACAGCATTATTTCCAGGACTCCACAAGCAAATTCTCGTGTCTTCATTAGTGGGGAGACAATCAAGAGGAAAAACAGTAGCAATAAGTCTTTTATGTGAGTCCACTTGTTTTTAGAGATAAATGCTTTGGGATAGTAACTAAGGCTCCTAAGATCAGTTCTCTTTCTGGACACAGTGAAATGGTTCTTCTCTTCCTTACCCCAAATTAGATGTGACTATCAAACTTGCCTGGGCCAATGAAATGTGAGAAGCAATGTGTGTCACCTCTGCCTGAACAGCCAGTGTATGATTCATTGCACACCTTGCTTGCCATGGCGGAGCGACAGAGGGTGCTGGCTCCAGCCGCCTGAACCCTGAGCGAGGAAATGCGGAGCGGAGGCTTCATGCACTCCGTGCTGGACACACGGTGTTTCATCACACAGCAAGGTGGGTGGGGTAATGCTCCCTGACTCCACAGGGAGAGGCGAGTGGAAGCTTCACATTTGAAACCTCCCGACTCTGCCTTAAGCGTTTTTTTTTCTTTTGGCTGATCTTTATCTGTAGCCTTTCCCTGTAATGAACGATATCTGTGACTGGGACACCTTTCAGTGGGTTCTGTAAGTCTTTGCAGCAAATTATTAAACACGAAAGAGGTGTTGGGGAACTCCCTGAACTTGCAATTGGTGTCCAGTGTAGAGACAGTGCCCGTTCACTGGTTTGCACACTTACCCAAACATTGCCTTAGGATTGTGGGGTGTTTTTTTTTTTATCAGTTTAGAAAAAATGATCTGATTAAGAAATTGTATATATAAGTAAGGAGTTTTTATTGTTTGGTTTTACAAATTATCCTCATGGAAGTCACTTTAATATCTAGCTATCTAGCTAAGAATATTTCATTTTATAGTCTGTCTGGGA